TCTATGTAACGTACGAGTTTCTTTCCCATATTTGAAACTGAAGAATATAAGAACTATAGAATGAGAAAAAGATACGTAAAAACAGATTCGCTTTTGTTTTAATTATTTTCAAAAGTGGCACTGATTGACAATGTCAATCAGTACACTTTTAAGTGTACCTAGGTACTCAGCACCTCTGCGAATGGGAGGCTGAAACTTATAGGATGGAGAATTATTGACAAAATATTTTACATGGGAAACGGGTCCAAGTGATCATACCAGGGATAATTTATACATCTTGATTGAGAACGAATATGTTTTTATTAAATTATGAATGATGAGAGCATGTCAATATATAGTCATATTAGAACGGAATTGGCCGCGGTGGTAGTGCGCCCGACTCACGATCGGAAGGCCGTGGGTTCGATTCCCGCCTCGACCAGATATTTTTCTCGAGAGAATTTATCTGAAGCTGGGATGATTCTGCAACCGTGTTAGGAATCACACGTTAAAAGGTAAAACCTCATTAGTCCTTATCTCGCACAAGTTTCTCAACTTCTGAGAGTTGTCGTTCATATGGAGGCGACAGCTGATTAACGGAAAAACAGATTTTAATCAGTCGTGTAGGTACTTGGGGCATTATATTTCAGAAATTCAGGAAAAATCCCAAATAAAATAATGATAATATCTATATAGCACAATTTGGAAATATTATGAATTGAAAAGGTTTACTTTCAACTTTCGAAGTATTGACTGAAGATTTTTAGAAATTTGATTGAGCAGATGAATTGATGTGTACCAATAAAATATTAGGCTTCATATAAATATACACTTCCACTTCACAAGTAAATGAATGATATATTGTTGTTTTTCATTAAAAAACTTATATACAACAATACATCTGTTTAAAAAAAAATCTGTTTTTCCCTTAATCAACTGTCGCCCCCACACGAACGACAGCTCTCAAAAGTTGAGAAACTTGTGCGAGCTAAGAATTAACGAGGTCTTACCTTTATCAGTGCCAAACAGGAATTCTTTGGCATTTGTATTAATTATAACTGTTTTTGGTAACTACCAATTGTCACCAGTAATAACTCCCTGATGCTTTTGGATTGATTGCTTTGATTACAGACAATTAAGTTAGTATTTTTCCAGAAAGTTTATTCATTTACTATACAACCAGGCTCCATGTGCTCATTTTTCTAACCAGTATAACCTGTGGCCACATGGGAANACCATTACCCTACCTTTACGATTTTATAGGACACTTCTGTTTCACTTAACATTCATTGAAACTTCAATCAGTTGTTAGTTCGAATTTCAATGAGTTTTTTTTTCACAAAATGAATGCGAGATCAATCTAAGAGTTTATAATAATTTTCCTCACAGACAGACAGAAAATAAAGCTTGTTCATTAATCAATGTCGAAGCTCTGCAGCTGACTTTGACATTTGAAGACTGAAGTATTCAGCCTTTCCCTTGGAAGGCTTCTTCATAAGGGGTGATGTCATCTCTTCTACTAACTTAGGCTTGTCCTTTGAAAACAGTTGAGTCCAGCAATGCATTTGTGGTTCAGCCTAGTATCACTGATGAGAGCTAATGCGGGTTCAAACAGCTCTGTCTGGTATTGGATTATGAATGAGTTGTTTTTGGGTTCTAGTTTCAAGTAGTAATAGTACATGTTCATGGCAATTATGAGAAAAATGATTTTGAATATAGGGTCTCATCACTTGATGAAATCAATGACAGCATTCATGATGATAATAATGATATGAAAATAATTTTCATACTATGAATTTTATTCAAAACCCAATTCACCACACATTAGCTTCTCCATTTCACCTGATGAAGCTACTTATAATGAAATGCAATTCGAATGTTTATAGTGTGAACATTGTTCAATCATGGATAACAAAAGTAAAATTTGGATGCAAGATTTTACCCTACCAATAATTTGCAACAGATTTGAGCATATCAAAGTGTTTTTAAGAAACAATTCAACATTGTGAATAGAGTTTTGTAAATAGCTAGTAAATAGTTCAGCATATAAATTTGAGATTCTTCCAGTAACAGTATAACATTATTGTATACTTTATCTTTTGACATTACCTATTTTACCTACAGTGGTGTTATATAAGGGCTAATGTAATCAATCATTGTTAGTTTAATGTATAAGTTTGAAAATGCCCTTATAGGACGAAACTGCAGTAACGTTAGTTACAAATAAAAGTAGTAAAAAACATAGAAATTTTCAATTCTCTTATCTTTATGATTTTCTACCACGTAGTAACGTCTACATCCATCAATTTACTTTATCTTTTGTTGTTGGAAAGGAAAAATTGAATGAACGAAAATCAAACTGACTAAAACTCAATTTCATTGAATGAAATATATACAATTTGGTCACATCAACAATAAAAATACAAAATGTATACCTATATAAAACAAAATCAACAAATTACCTTTATGATAAAAATAACTTTAGTTAACAACAAACACCTTTCTGTTTCTTGGATGATTAATCTTGCACAATCTGGAAAATAAATGAAGGTAAAGGAGAATCTGCTGAAGTGTTTGGCAAAATGAAGAGTTCACTCCGAAAAGTTTCTGCATAATATAAACCACAAAAGAGTTGAGTTAGTGACTCATGGAAAAATGATATTTCCTTTTTCATTTTCAAAACTGACAAAAATTCAGTTATGAACAACGGCTCTATTGGAAACAGCTATAATTTCCTTTAACACACGTTTGTGTCTTAGTATAAAAGTNAAATTGGTCAAGCAAATTCGATAAACTATTCAGGATACATATATTTAGAGAGTATCTTTATAAATTCTCGACTTTTCAAATATACATGAAGTCAAAGTTAATTGTTGTTCCATGCAAATTAATAATATTTATTTATTTATTTGATCAAATTTTTGTAACAGTGAAAATGAAAGTAGTTACAAACAGTGATTGTTCACACCAACATATATTTGTTAATTGAGCTGTGAGCACTGTGACAAGTTATTAAAACTCATATCAAACAACATGTAAAGCATATCAGATTTCGGAAAATATAAAGGTATACTTGCCTAACACGTATTCAAAAACAGTTACTGAATGAATTATTGAAACTGGTATACATAAATTTAGACTTTTAGATGCTTTAGAATTTTATCCTGATGGAAATAAATGGGTATCATGTAGAGTGATGCAGTTTTCTCATATGCAAGCAGTGTTTGTGTAAGATAGAGCACATAAATAAGAAATGTTAACACAAAGTTCAAGGGCTTTTTATGAATGGACACATAATATTCTTGTGGGTTATCTGAACAGCAGTGAAATTAAATGCAAGAATTTCTGAGATCAATTGTATGCTACAGTTTCATGAAATGTGATGTTTCTCTCTGTAAACAGTTACATATTTTATTTTCAAACCTTTCCTAGTAAATCATGTGAGTATATCTTTTTTTTATAGCCCCTCTTCAAAAACATTCGGATCAATATTACCAGAAGCAGAAATGAAGCCACATAAAGAATAAAACACAAACCAACATCGATAGTTTTGAATAAACTTGATTCAGAGGAGTTATAAGAAGATTCTCCATTCAAACCAAGATGCAGAATTCTTGTATCAGAACCAATATACCTAACATTGATACTACTATACATATGTTTCAGATAGAGTAATACTTCAGGAATATTCCAGGAATGATCTTTATTATGACATCTGGGGCACCTTTTGTCTGAAGGGAACTGGTACTTCGGGTAATCAGGATCCTCCGTTTCATCACCAGATAAACGCTTGTTAACTTCATTGTGAGCACTCCATAGCCAAAGTATGGAATCATCCCATGAAGAGACTTCAAAAATTTTTCTCCTGTCGGCCATTTGTTGGAAATGCTTACTACACTCTGCACATCCAAAGAAATGTTTTATGTATCCGTGCATTGCCTCCAGCACAATTTTCGGGTTGTCATCTTTTATGCCACTGTAGTCTGCAGCGTTAACGGTAAGATAATGAAACATTTTCCACAAACCACAAGGATAGCCTCTGTAGGTAGTTTTGCTGCCTTTACAAGCTAACCATTTTTGAGGCGTTGAAAACACTTGGCGTTCTTCTCTTTCAGCATCTTCTACCATTTTTCTGATTTCACTTCCATGAATGAAGGTCTTTTGAGATATATGATTTTTAATTTCTTTCAAAAACAGCTGTCCATACTTGCCAAAGGGAAAGTGTCTTTCAAGAATATTCATATAATCAGAAAGGGCCTTCAATTTCTCCCCGGTAATCTCTTTGGAATTCCCAACTTCGTGTTTGAGGGAATAACGAAGGACAGTTTCCAAATCCATTTGGAAAATCACATCACCCATTTTTTTAACTTTTTCTTTTAGTGCTTCTCGTTCTCTTTCTTGCATGAATTCTTTCATATCAGGTACTTTGGAATCCACCCATTTTTCAACAGGTGCTTGTTCATGAACTTTACCTGGGACAATAATATGTTTTGATTTTAAAAACTGACGAATTGCAGTACTGTATGCTTCTCTAGATTCGGAAGAAGTTAAAGTTTGTACTGAACTATCTCGACCTATAGAAACCAAAGCAGGAATAGTGCTTACTTGCAGAGCATTCATCAATTCTGAATTGTTGTTGAATGTATATCTAACAACCACATCCTTGATTTTATTAAAATCTAGAGCAATTTCTTGAGCTAAAAAACTTGACGGATTTTGGAAGATCAAAAAGGCGTACTTTGCATTTTTTGGAGCATCATCAAACAATAGATTTACATTGGGATTATTATATGGAAATAAACTTGGAAACATTTTGCCTCTACCTTCATATTGTTCTCTCTGAATGATTTCTATAAGTTTTTGTCTATGTTCATTCATATCTGATCCTGCCTGAATCACCTTCCCTAAATTTTTTGGACCCTCTTGATAATTCTCATGAAAATATTTTATTGTTGGATAAGACATTATCTCAAAATCTCTACACAGTGGATTGTTAACGTCATCGGAACAATCTACAGCACCAATTCCAACGAGACCTTTCCATTCTTTCACATCAGTTGCTAGGGCTTTCCAGGATGGGGCAAACCTCCGACAGAACCCACACCAGCTATTATAAAACTCAACCAAAAAGGCTCTTTCATTTCCATATATTTCATGTTTGAAGTTATCAACACCCAATATCTCCACATCATCCTTAGAAGAATATAAACCTTGTCCATCTGTAAGTTTCTTATATTTTTTCTGTTCGAATATACTCAAAGCCGAACCTTCAGATCGCTGCAGTAGAATAAAAGCCACCGATATCGAACAAAATATACGAAAAAAATTAAGTGGCATACTTATTTTCAATACCGCTTAACAAAAACATAACTAATCTGCCAACAGCTGGATATAAAGATAAAAACAGAATGGAATAGGTTATGTTACTAATGTTTTCATTTTCCATTTTTTTTTTAGTATGACGTAAACACAACGTGTTGTCATTTTGTTATTCGAGAAGAGAATTTCCGCAAGGTGGCGATGTGAAGCTCTAGGAAAACCAAGACTCTTAGACATCTCCTGATGATGTTGAGTCGATTAACAAAACACGTGTATTATTGTTATAATGGAGATACATTTTACATCAGAGGTTTCAAATTCTACTTATAAAGAAAAAATTGTGAAATTAAATTAATGGACAAGGTATTGACTGATGACTAGCAGAAAGCACACGTTCTCAATATTTTTCTTGTATTGGCAATGAAATGGACAAAAAATAGTGAATAAGTCATAATTCTTCCGGATTTTCGAATGATTTGCCCCTTTAATGAATCTGGTGATACTGCTGAGCAGGGCGACGACATTTCCCCTTACGAATACGGTATCAATAGTATTACCAATAATGATTGAGAGTAAAGCGCGTTGTCATATCTAAATTTTACGTTACCAGTTTATAGCGGAATCAAAATATAGTAAGCAGTAGAGTTGTAGGTTGTGGCAAATTATAGATAATACACAATACTAGTACGATTAAAAGGTATTATTTATGACAAAAATCAGTAATGAGCTTGTAATGAGTAATACTTATACATTTCCTGATTACTGATCAGTTAAAATTCATTATTTTCTGTATAGTGTTAGATATTTATTACAACTAGTGGCAACGCTGTACGCAACGATATTTCTGTCTTTGTCACTNAGGCCCACCTAATGACTACAACGATTAGGTAAATTACGATATTGCAAAGTTTTAATGAAATAAATAAAAAATGTGTATGAATATTTCAACTAATTGTACTAAGAATTTTTCTTTCATTCTTAACCGTCTCAAAAATTAATAAGCACGCCCCCGATTTGCTGTCAACTGGGCTTACTTCTACTCTCAATCATTATTGGTTTTAGTATATGTGGTCGACAGATACGAATATCAAAGATAAACGAGGCTCCCCAAGGATGAATCTCGAAAGCGGTCGATATCAAAGCTTGGCTTTGCAACTGACCGCCTTGGAGATCTTCGCCCTTGAGGAGCCTCGTTTATCTTTGATGTTTGAAGATTGAGTGTTCTGTCGATCCCAAAGATGTCGTCTTTGTAAGAGGAGTTGTCGCTCCCTTGTTTCAGACTTGTTTTTTGAGGATAGTTGATTCCAGCAATGCATTCGTGGTTCACCCTAACACCACTGATGAGACAACGCTGTCTGTTGTTGAATCAGAAATGCATTGAATTTGGCCTCTGTGTTTTAATCGCTTATCCAGGATTTAAATCCAGAAAGAATGTTTTTTTTCTTGACTATACTAATTCACATGTTGTCCCTTGGAAAATAAATTATTATTATTATAAAAAAAACGCAATTCGTATTCTTTAATAGAAGGAATGCCAAATCAGCCGTATTTGACATATTCAAGCAAACAAAACACGAAACAACTACTATCATATAAATATTGAATTTCACGAAAAAAAAATTCTTTCGGCACAACTATTTTTATATGAACATTGAATTAAACAAAAATGAAAACACTCCTATTCAATTTGTACTGAATGGTGAATATTTCAAACATTCACTGGGATGAACTGGGGTAACTTTCAAAATTAATCTAATAATCGGTTTTTTGCAGATTCATAAAACGAACATAAAACAATTTCTGGAGAACGACCTGATCCGATCTCCAAAAATAAAATAGTATTGGATAGACAGTTGAAATACCTATCAAACGATGTATAACAAAACTCTTTTTCAAATAAAAAAGTTTATTAGCGCCTTTTCCGCGACAAGTGCTTCCTTATGAAAAGTACTGAAAATATTTTGAGTATATAGGGTGTAACATAAGTACGTTAAAATATTCAAGTGATGTATTCCTGAAACAATTTTAAGAAAAAAAGTCTATATGAACTTATGTCCGAAAATGCTTCGTTTCGGAGATACGGGATGTTGAAAGTGAATTTTTTTGTTCGCTTTTTGAAAATAACTCTTGCAAAAAATAGGTTATTTGCACGAAATTCGGTACCCGGGGTTTTTTTGACGTGGGGAATCATAATTTCGTATTAATTTTCATGTAATATCTAGAGGGCGCTGCGTCATTATTTATTTCAAATTGCCCTAACTTTTTTGACAGTAAACTTCTGGTACTTTTCATGAAAAAACCTAATTCCTACACCTTTTCCAAGTAAAAAAGGTACACCTCAATAACGCTGGAGGTGATCGTTTTCGAGATATTTACAATTTTCTATATCGATGCATATTACTTAGCTCCAAGGGCGCTAAGTGAAGTGACTGAGAACATTACAAAAACTAAGTATGTGGTGGATCTCGTCAAAATGAACAACTTTTTCTTATAAAATGTTTAACGAAGAATGATTCGTTTTTGAAATACATATTGTTGAAATTTTTCAGAACATGGAAGGTTTTTGCCAAAAGTTTTTTGCAATTTTAGTTATTTTCATCAAACTTCATACGCAGTATGACTTCTTCTAAACTGAGCATTATCGAACTGCTTATTCAATCCAAATTAAAAAAAAATTGTCAGGTTTAATTATTCAATTAGAAAGTGCTACATTTCGGAGTGTGTAAAAAACAATTCGGAGATTAGGAAAATAAACATATTAGAATTGAACTAAACAACTATTACAACAACTGTTCAAAGAGACGACCCCCAACAGTAATACAAGCTTCTGCTCTCCTCATCAAAGAATTCCGGACCCGTTGTAAAATGCCCGGAGTGTTTCTTATCGTTTCGCAGCAAGCTATGATGCGATCCCTTCAACATTTCCTCATTTTCAATGGGGCTAGCATAAACTAGTGATTTTAGGTGTCCCCAAAAGAAAAAATCGACGGGATTGAGGTCCGGTGACCTCGGGGGTCAATGCTCAGTGCCTCCTCTTCCTATCCATCGTTGGGGATATGCTACGTCTAAAAAATTTCTTGCTATCACACTAAAATTAGCAGGAGCTCCATCGTGCATAAACCAAGAGTGATTTCGGAGACCAATGGGAACATCTTCCATAAGTTGGGGAAGCTCGTGTTCCAAAAAATGTAGATAAGCATCTCCATTCAAATGTAGGGGGGAAAAATAGGGCCCAATTAAATAATCCCCAATTATGCCTACCCATACATTAAAAGAGAATACGTCTTGAAAATGAGTTTGCGTTATCACATGTGGGTTACCTTCCGCCCAGATGTGGTTGTTATGGAGGTTCATGATACCATTTCTTCTTCTGTGAAGAGGATTTTCGATCAAATTTGCGGATGTTGTTCGACTTTTCTTTGAAGCCATTGAGCAAATGCGATACGTAATTGGAAATTACGCAGCGTAAGTGCTTGGACACACTGAATATGATAAGGATATAATTGCTGTTCCTTTAAAATTCTGTAAACTGTCATGTGACTCACATTTTAAGTTTGAATAATTTTTCTTGTATTTGTCTCTGGATGTTCGAAAATTTCTTCGAGAACCGTCTTCTCCAATTCTACAGTTCTTGTAGTCCGGGGCCGTCCTACTGCAGAATTTGTTTCAAAGTTTTCAGATTCGGAAAGTCGCGGAAAATATTCGCAAATGTCGCTGTAGGAGGTGTCACTCGTTGGGGATACCTTTCCTGATAGATGCGTCTGGTCTCGCTTGAATTTCCGTCAGCCAAGCCGTAGGTATGCAAAAACCATATCAGCCATTTCAGCATTCGTAAAGTCGGGCATGGTACCAAAAAATCACTTTATAAACTCCGAACTGCAAATTTGTCAATTAATAGTTAAAAATGTGACATCGAACTTCTATTTTTATAAACAAACTTTCATAGCGTACTCGATTTAATTAACTTAATTTGCAAGCTGAGAGTGACAAAAATTTTTGAAATCAAATTTGGCTATAAAGTAATACGCATCAATAAAGAAAATTGTAAATATCTCGAAAACGATCACCTCCAGCGTTGTTGAGGAGCGTCAAAAAAACCCTGGGTAACGAATTTCGTGCAAATAACTTATTTTTTGCAAGAGTTATTTTCAAAAAGCGAACAAAAAATTCACTTTCAACATCCCGTATCTCCGAAACGAAGCATTTTCGGACACAAGTTCATATAGACTTTTTTTCTTAAAATTGTCTAAGGAATACGTCACTTGAATATTTTAACGTAGGTACTTATGTTACCCCCTTTATACACGACACTAGATTTTTGAATGCTTTCGAAAGTCTGGAAATAGCAGTGTGGCACGAGAATAATGAACAGTGACAAGGGTCCCATTCAAAACAGCTCTTTGTTTACCTTTTTATGAATCACTCTGTTAAAATTGACGATAACTTTGACGAGCATTCCTGTCTGGAATCATTGGTGTGTGTCTATGCGGATACCAGTTTTAGAGCAAGGAATTTTCCTAAAGAAGCTAACTTTGTTGGTGAAATACGCGTCGGTAGGGGTGTTGCAGGAAGAGTGCTCGTTTTGGATTTATTCTATGCCAGAGGTTCCAGTTTTAAATCCGTCCTTGAGTCATGGGGATCTTTTTTCACATTCATCTATACGCAAAGATCAATATATGCCCTAGAATGTCAAATTACTTCATTTTGACGTCACTTTCAAGCGGAAAAGGATTCCCATGACCTATGACTCGAGAATCATGTCTCCTGTGCCCTCTATTTTGCCCGGCTTGCCCCCATTACATCTGGCTTTGTTGATGGTCCATTCTGTACATGGATGAATCGAGTCGTACTGGATCTGCACAAACAAACTGAAAAACATCGGAAGTGGACTCATTTCAACTGAACGGAAACAAACAATCCCCCTTTCTGTATTAACACACTAATTATTGATTCACCCCTATCGACACACTTAGACACTGACCACTGAAGCGTTAAGAGAAATTAGTTAATCGTTGGCATGGATACTCCTCTGGAGCGTAACCATCCAACCCTCACCTGTTTTCGCTGAAAATATCAGTAGTGACGAACATCATTCCGTCGAAAACCCCCGTGACGTATTATAAACAAAAAGTGTTCAGGGCAAGCCACGATTGAGTAACAAATATGTCTCAAGAGGAAAGCCAAAAGTCGAACAATTCACATTCAGAATCTTCCAGTAGTTCACCCAGTCAAACACCTTTTTTTCGAGAACATATTCGTAGGGATGTCCAAAACGGTAGTACGACCGATTTAACCACAGATTTAACATTGTTTGGAAGTCCAGCGCCGACTTTGAGAAGGAGTGGGACTATAAAAAGAGCGAGTTCTCTTTCCTTGCAGAACGAGAAAAATACATCAGGAAGCGGAAATATCAAGGAAGAACCCCAAAAAAACGTTAGAGTGCTGTCAAGGTTGGAGAGAGTCAATAGTTTCGAACAAAATATTGGTAGTCGATATAGACTGTCTTTGGATAGTAGTTTTAGGTGAGTTTTAAAGCTGCCAGGCTAGAAATTTCCAAAATACAATATAAGTACAGATAAACTACTGTTTTCCAAGTAAATAGATGAAAACTGATGACCAGCTTGATGGTAAAAACCGCATATCGATATCTATCATCGTTTCTGAGTTACAGCATGTTTTTCGAAAATGTGCATTTTCGAAAAGTTACTGTAACTTTTTTCCTGTCAAAATTTTCTTGTTTCTATGAAAACATTTCCAAAGCACTTTTTAAGGTAGAATTCAATGGCATTAAAACTTAATTTTTTCAAATGAGATATCAATAGTGGTTGTTGGAAAAATATTTTTCAATGAGACACCCTGTATATTTCTGCATATTTCAATAGAGTTTGACATTACCTTTCCAAAAATGTAGCACACCTTCTCTACACCTTTTCTGAACGTTTGCCGAATTAATTATTTCAATAGGAGTTAGAGAAGCAAAACTTTGCAACACTGCCGCTTCCAATTCGTATCTAGAATTGGTTGGCAATTTAAAAATAAGGTCTTTCAACCCTTTCCAGAGGTAAAAGTCCACAGGCCTTAGGTCCGGTGACCTGGCCGGCCAACGGTTGGATCCTTGGTTGCCTATCCAATTATTACCGAAATTGCAGTGTTGAGAGGTGAATCCCCTTCTTGCTGAAAATATATTTTTCTGAGATACATTAGTGGCAATTCATCAACAAGTATTTCAATATTTTGCTTTGAAATTTCTAAATACCTCTGGGATGTGAGAGTGTCATTATAAATGAACGGGCCGATAATTCTACCCCTGAAAATGAAGATTTTGTTATGCCCAATTATGAGAATTGAAGCAGTTGAAAATGCCGGCACTGCTCATATAAGCTTCGTCTGTCCAAATAGAATTTGACGAAAAATCACGCACTTGGTTACAACTTTCCAGAAACCACTGGCAAATAGTCATGCGGCGTTCAAAATCTCCTGGTCTGAGCTGATGAACTATTTTGGTGTTTTTTCAAAATCCTCCTTACATTAATTCTTGGTAGGCCTGTTGATATATTCAAATGTCGCGTTGTGGGATTATTTTCAACAGCTCCTGAAACGACTATTTCTTCCAACTCCGTATCCTCATTTGATTCATATAACTTTGGCCTTTTCTTTTCAAATTGACCACCATCAATTAGGTTGTGTCGGAATTTTGCAAAACTGTCTCCAAACGGTTGTCCTCTCTCTGGATACCTCTCGTGATACAAATTGCTTGCTTCTGCATTTTTCCCGGTTTATTTAAAACATACTATCATATCCCATTTTTCATAATTCTCATACTTCATTGCGAATGTGTTTGAAAGTTGAACAAAACCACTAATTGAAGAGCGTCTTTACTACTTGAATCAAAATTTGACAGCCACTAGTAAAGATTTGCATTCTGTTCTCAACATTTGATAACTACTTCTGAATGCAAGTAATTTTCGTCCAATAAACAGTCTTCCAACGCTTGAAAAAGTACTGGAACTGGCAGTATATGAACAACTAGTTACATACTTTAATGAAAATAATTTATTGATAAGGAAGAATATATTGTTGCTATATTTCTAGATTTCAAGCGTGTCTTTGAAACAATTAATAGAAAAACTTAAATCAATAAACTGAAGTATTATGGTGTAACTGGAAAAGCTTTAAACTGGTTAGATAGTTGTCTTGAGCAAAGAAGTCAAAGGACTAAAATTTGTGATGTAATGTCAGATTAAATTATAAATGGCATAGGTGTACCACAAGGTAGTGTTTTAGGACCACTGCTATTCATTATTCATGATATCAACTATGTACCTGGTTCACACCATATTAATTTATTTGCTGATGATACCCTTGTATATATGGAAAACTGTGATTGATAAGAAGCTGTACAAAATATCAATATATCTTTAAAGAACATTGAATTATATCTACAAGCGAATAAACTCAAATTGAATATCAATAAATCTAAGGCAATGATTGCTACAACAAATTAGAATCAAAGAAAGATTGATACTAACGACGTTAATATCAGCATATTCAATAATCAACTTACAACTGCATAATAAGGCCACACTTTGACTACTGTGACACACTAATATATCTATTCAACCTAAATCAAATAAAACAGTTGCAGAAACTACAAAATCGAGGTATGAGAATCATTTTGAGATGCAATTGAATTCTACGTGAAAAAGTGCTCTGGAAATGTTTTCATAGAAACAAGATATTTTTGACAGGAAAAAAGTTACAGCAACTTTTTGAAGATGTTGTTATATTTTGATTCTCTCACCTTTATTTTGATTCGGGTTTTACAATTTGAGGGGCTAATTGGTTTCATTATAATAGTTTAGCTAATACCATATACTGTAAAATCTACTATACCTAAATTATTCACATTGAAAAATTAATACTTAACAGCAAACTATTTACCTTGAAAACAGTTGTATAATGCTATATTATTTTTCATTTCTTTGAATCTCTATTGAAAATGTAATGCATTTTTTTTTGTTTCAGTCTGTCCATGCAGCATAGGTTTCAGAAAAATGGAATGCAGGCTTGATGATCCCTTGTGAATTCATATAAAAAGAAACAAGCTAACATCACAAGGATCATGCACAGAGATATTTTCCAATTTTACCAAAAAACTTGAATACTACTTATATATTCATCATATGAATGAGCTAGCTGTTCTCACTTCAGTTTATGTTGACCATTAAAAATTTTGAAAAATTTTTAAGGAGTCATAAATTCATTGGTGCCATAATGACAGCTCACTGGAAGAAAGCTTAATAAATTTATATAATTTTGAAATTTTGTGGCAGGCTACATAATAATGAGTCTGCTATTTTCATCCGAGAGGAAAAGAGGAAGTCCAGGGACACCCTGTATATTTTTCCAGGACACATGCAGTGTTCATGTTGAGTAAGCTGTGATAATATATTGAGCATAAGTACCGACAAAATTTCATCGTAACAGAATCTTCAAATTCAATGCAAACTCGGAGGACTAGTTTCTAATTCGTTTTTGCATTATCAAAAAATATCAATAAAACTCAAAAATTCGAATGGACAACAAATCCTTCGGCTTATTACATTATTCTATTAGAAACCAGAGATAAAAACAAAGGCATTCATGGTCGCCTAACTTCGACATCAACTGATGAACGAGATTCGTTCTCTGTTTTTCGCTACAGCTCTTACTGCAAGTCTGTTTGGTGTTGAATCACGAATGCTTTGTTTTTGGGTGGTTTTGTTGCTTTGTAGTGAAATCTGCAGAAAAAGGCAGGAACGAATCTTATTCGGTTGTCGATGTCAAAGTTTGGCTTTGCAACTGACTTTATGCAGTTATTATTCAGGTTTTCCTTCATCGCATCAATTCTCCATAGTGTTTGAGAAGCATAACAGCTTTATCTGGCTTTATTTGGGGATCAAAAAGTACCCTATTATTAATAAAGGGTAGAGTAAAAGATAGAAAACGATTTTTTCTGTCTGTTCATGAAAAATCGAGTATACTCGTTAGGTACTCTACATACCATATTCCAGGTGATATTTTGGAATAAAGTCTATTGTTATTATTACACACATTTCACTGTATACTAATAGTTTCATTCAAAGAAAAAAATCTTCTTTCTGTCGATGCAGATTTGTTGAATTTACCTTTTTTCCAACGGTTCCTATTTATTTGTAACAACAATCGTCATATTTAAAATCAGGTGAAGATTCAGGGACAAAATGAAGAGATGCTTCTGGCAGCTTGTGAACAGTTCCTTGGGAAAAAAGAGAACGAAATTCAACACATCGCCTTAGTAACCTTAGAAGGGCACCAAAGGGCCATCATGGGTTCCATGACTGTCGAGGAGATATACAAGGATCGCAAAAAGTTCAGCAAGCAAGTTTTCGAAGTCGCTTCTTCTGATCTAGTCAATATGGGCATTACTGTAGTTTCTTACACCCTGAAGGATATCAGAGATGAAGAGGTACGGATAATCAAATGAATAATTCACTTGCATTATGAGGTAATACTATTCTTTTGTTTTTGGTTTGTTTGCTTCAAAAGGGTGCCAAGGTATGTTCAATTACTTGGTTGTTTTTTGTGTAGTGTCGCTGTAGCAAGACACGAATCAGTCAATCAATGATAATGTTCAGATTGGAGAGATATTTGGAAAAATCTCATTGATAGGTTTGTTTGGCGAATTGATTGACTGATTATTGAAATTGCTTTGAAAATAGTTTGTTTCTAATTCAAAGGTGTTGGTCAAGTATCTTCAGGTGAGTACAATAAAACACATTCATGCAATGTTATTGCTTTACAAGGCCAACTTCAAATTTATTTTGAATTGTCTCTGCGAATATGTCAAAGTTTCCCACAGTTCTTTTATAAGGATGGAGGAGTAGAGAGCTAAAAAGTTTGTTTCCCAAAAACTAATCTCTCAAAAAAAAATATTCCACATAGAATTGCTAGTACTTGATAGTGCGACCAACGCGACCATACAACACACAAATATCCGATGGATACCTATTGGACATCTGGTTTATGTCAAAAATATATCTTATAGACGTTCTAGGCCATCAACCTGGACGCCTGTAGTATATAATACTTTTATTTTATAGATGTGCATAAGTTATCCACATGAATATATTATTTCATGACCACTGTGGGATATGTTATAGACATTCATTTCATGTCCAAGGATATTCCGACCTGAATTGAACATGAATTGGATATCCATATGATATCCGGTGTTATCTGAATCAGTAAGTGGTTACACATAATACAACAACTCGTTAAGATAAGTAGGTATCTTGACGGTTTCCCGCTTTATTCGTTTACTTCCTCAGACGTCAATATACAGCAGTGTGACACACTTAAGATGAAGACACTCCTGTATTGTAGTCACTTTTTAAAGCAGAGATTTGATTTTTGGTACAGTCGTAGACCTTCGTGGGCCGCACTTTTCGCAATACTTAGCTCGAGCGATAGCCCTAAACCCAGCCCACTTTGTTCCTGCGAAAAGGGCAAATTATCGATGTTTTACTTCGCGTTGGAGATTTGGAATTTCATTTATTTCAACAATTGAAATTCACGAGTCAGTTTTTCAAAATTAAAAAGTCGGTCTTTCGAAATCATAAGCCATTTCCTATGGGTGGAATCATTTCATTAGTTTGTCCCGAACCATTTATTACGAAATTGCGAATTCGCTACAGAAATGCGAAACTTTGAAACTAGATTCATAAAAAATAATATTCTGCTTCGAGTTGAAACACATCAACTGTAACCAGGGCCGTAGCGAAAAGAAATACCAAGGGGGAAGGGAATCTAAATTTTCCCAACCCCACCAGCAAAATTTCCCAACTTTCGAAAAAATGAAAGCTGAGTGATAAGTTACTACTATAATATATTAATTTTCTTGCTTAGCTATCCAAAGATTGGCTGAATGCCTATGCCCGTTAGGGTATGACAAACAAAAATAAATTTTGGCGAAAAGAGAAATGGAAATTTCTATGTTTTTTACCACTTTTATTTGCAACTAACGTAACTGCAGTTTCGTCCTATATGGACATTCTCAAACTTATACAATAAACTGTCCATATAGGACGAAACTGCAGTAACGTTAGTTACAAATAAAAGTGGTAAACAACATAGAAATTTTTGTTTTCTCTTTTCATTATGATCTCCTACCACGTAGTAACGGCTACCTACATCCATCAATTTATTATAAATTTTGGTAGGTAATTATAAAAATAATAATGGAAATTATTCTACTTTGGACCAAGGTCCTTGGTCTTCCACCATATCCACCATGTATAGGAATATTCAATACAAATGAAAAGAAACAACACTTAAATAATATTGTGCTTATTGTTGTCTACTATTATTTTTTCTATCCTCACGGCCCGAAATTTCCCAACTTTTTCAAGTCGAAAAAACAGCGAAAAGTTGTGAATTTTGTAAAATTGTCACTTTAAAATTTGTGGACTGTTCAGGACTGTTCTCTAACTTGGGAGAAATTAAACTTTTTTGAAGTTTTCAAATAACTCAGAATTTCACAGTATGGGATCTCCAAGTTATGCATGTTGGGAAATCCCAACCTTCTCCCGGTTTTTTCCCTTTTCTTATTACCTCTCCCAACCCCCATGGCGACGGCCCTGACTGTAACAAATAATTTCAACAAGTGATGGTAACCTTAATTGCTTCAAGTGTATGTGGCACTAATAAGTTGGCTTATTTTGCACACATCTTCAAAGAAATGCAATTTGTTCACGAATGTAGCAAATGAATAGAAAGATATGATCTAGTTAATGATTTACATATTTTCTCTCCACATTAGGGATACCTAAAGAGCTTGGGCATGGCTCGAACAGCAGAAGTGAAACGTGATGCCCGAATTGGTGAGGCTGAAGCCAGATGTGACGCACAAATAAAAGAAGCTTTGGCCGAAGAGCAGCGGATGGCCTCCGTCTTTTTGAACGACACTGAAATAGCGAAGGCCAAACGAGATTTCGAGTTGAAAAAAGCCGCATACGACGTCGAAGTACAAACGAAAAATGCCGAAGCAGAAATGGCATATGAACTTCAAGCCGCCAAAACCAAGCAGAGAATCAAGGAGGAACAAATGCAAATTCAAGTTGTTGAGAGGACTCAGCAGATAGCAGTTCAAGAACAGGAAATAGCTAGAAGAGAGAGAGAATTGGAAGCCACCATTCGCAGACCAGCCGAAGCTGAAAAGTATAGATTGGAGAAGATCGCCGAGGCCAATCATAAGAGGGTTCTTCTGGAAGCTGAAGCAGAGGCAGAAGCACTCAGATTGAAGGGTGAAGCAGAAGCGTTCGCTATTGAAGCTAAAGCTAAAGCTGAAGCAGAACAGATGGCCAAGAAGGCGGAAGCTTGGAAAGAATACAAGGAAGCTGCTATGATCGATATGTTCCTTGATGTATTGCCAAAGGTAAAAATTTTATATTTATATTGCAACGCCCGGTTTATTCATACAATAATGAACAAGGGGTACCTAATATGTTTCAACATTATACATAGTTATCAACCATAAATTTCTCACTACCAAGATCTAAATAATGAGGATGCTTTTGAAATATAGGAATAACTTTGAAATTTATACTTTAGAGGCAAATAGGGGATATACAAATGTCAATAAAGATTCCAACAGAACTGGTAGGTATAAATCGGACTTGTCGAAACATCAAAGTTCAAATCTTATTTATAAATCGGACTTGTCAAATCATCAAAGTTCAAATCTTTTTTGTACATTCATTAGGTATAAATAAGCAGATATGGGAGTGTTTCAAGGTAACTGCTAGCGCAGGGTTCTTGCGTTGAAGATGGAATCGATTCAATAATTGGTTCATATAAAAGTCGCGGTGTAATTTATTTCTGCAGATATTTGAGAATACACTTATGTAATCTTGATGTGCAGGGGTATTTTTTTGATGAAATGTAGAAATTTGGTTCATCAAAGCATTCAATATTTGCCTGCTTCAAGCTTCCTGGATTCTGTTTTTTGATTGACGACTTGTTTATTTTGTGGAAATTCACGTTTACTGAGGATACACCATAAAAACACACTTTTATCTTTTTTTCACGAAATTTAGTTTTGAAAATGGTGTAATGACCTAAACTAGTCAACAAATATAGAACTATCGTGAAAAATAGACAAAAGTGTGGTTTTATAGTGTATCATCGGTATTAATTTGGTCGTTCTACCTATTTTGCCACATTTCACAAGTTGAATTCAATTCACTAAGATAAAGCATTCTTGTGTTTTTTGTTAAAGTATTTTTTGTCATTCACGAGACCAGTTCTGGTTACCAAAATTACCTTACTATAAAATTAGTTTAGCCAGTTAGAGGTTGTGCGTTTACTAAATAATTTTCAACAATGCTATTCAAACTTCAACAAAGAACTCAAATTATTCTTATTTATGAAAAATATCGTATATGCGTAAAAAGATCGGCAAAAATGTTCAATGAAAGCAGCGTAAAATAAATTTTAGGAACCTTTACTGCAGAAATCTCCTCACCACTTCGCTTTGAGTAACGCCACGTAGGAATGTCTCATAAAACAGTAAAAAGTTCACTAAATTCAAATAAATGTGACCAGTATAGAATGAAAATTATTCAACAGATTCATGACGATCAATTTCGACAAAAGAATTGAATTTTGCGATACGATGACAAATTTTATAAATGGAAACCATAATAGTTTGCGAAATATTTGCTTTACTGATGAGGGTACGTTTTTTCTCAATGTAAGTCAAGTAAACAGAGAATATGAACGTTTGGACTGGTATCTAACTAGAGGGGCTACTTCTTTCTGCTAGTTTGGAAAATCAAATTGATGCGGCTGGTAACATCGTAGGTATTCACTTTCAACAAGTTGGAGCTCCTCCACACTACTTATTTTGAGTGGCTAAATGATGAATTCCCTATCAGATGGATTGCTCGAAGAGGAGCAGTAGAATGGCCACCACGATTACTCGACTTATCCCCTCTAGAGTGGTACATCGTAAATGATTTTTAACAATAGACTCATTAGTCTACGTAGAAGTTTTTATGTGTAATGAACTGCTCATATGTATATTCATAAATGTGAAAGGTATAACTGGGACCTCTGGCGGAGACAATATTCAAAACAAAAACTGCTCCCAAACACCAGAACTGCAACACTATTAGTGACTCACGAGTGTGTTCATGTGTACTGAAACTGACGTTTTTCTTGCTATTGCACTGTTGAGAAGATGATGAAATAGTAGAATACATACTGTGTGTAAGCTATTTTCCGGGTTTTTACATATTATTTCATTCGAAGATACAGTAATGCTTGATAAAACTCGAGAGGCAATAGAAATTCAAAAACAAGGTTAATTTCAATAGAAAAGAAAAGGCAACGAACATCAATAAAATATGGCTACCTGTCCTTACAGATACATAATTTAGTGAAATCTTTTAATATTTTCAGCATCCAGTATTTGATTCTCTGATACGAGTATAACTCCGAACCTGTACACAATTATATCAATCTAATCTAGAACTGATTACAATTTATTTCTATTAAATTACATGTAAAGACCGAGAGAAAATATATTTACTCGCGGTAGAATGGAAGGCCATTTCGACTCACTATGGAATTATGACGCAATAATAGA